CTGCGCCACAGGAAGGTGAAATCTCAGTGCTTTACATTTACTGTGCTAAAATTCAGAAAAAACATCAGCACAATCTTTCAAATCAATAAATCTGGAAATGTGTAATTCAGAAATGTCTCCACAGGAGGGCGACATGTTTACATTCATTCAATTACATTTACAGTGGTGTCATTCACCAAAATCACCACACGAGGGCAAATATTTAAAAGTCAATAGATTCGCCGTGGTGTAATTCAGAAATATCTCCACAGGAGGGAGAAACTTTGAAATTTAGTATTTTAGAATGGCAGCAGTGCAGTTCACAAAAATCACCACAAGAAGGTGCTGTTATAGCGAATATTTTAAATTCAGCAGATTTAGGATTTGCAAAGGTGTAATTCAAAATAATCTCCACAGGAGGGCGCAATATTTGATACATATGTAATATTTGTCTATTTGTCTATTGTTAGATCAGATATTCAGCGTGTGTAATAATGTGTTGATTTGTGTGTCGACTCTACAGGATCTGTGAAGTGTTGTGGACTGTAAGCCTGTTGAACAGAAGCAGAGACAAGTGGACAGACACTGACTGTACTGATGATGATCATCTGCTGCTGCACAGGTGATGTAGATCATGTGTGTGATTGGTTGTGTGTGTGTCTGTTCCACATGTCGGTTACCATCATTTGCTTTGTGGAGGGTCACTCCTCTACAAAGTAAATGATGGTAACCGAAGCGGGTGGGGAAGGGACGAAGGTCCAGAATTTTTATACAGTTCATTTTAAATTTTTTGCCAGGCTGTAAAGTATAACCCCTGCTGGACACGGCTCCGGAAGCTCCAGGGGGAGACCGAACTGGTATCCCCCCTTCTTCAGGCGCGCCTCACACTCACTCACCATTCACTCATATCGCAGAGTTCTGGCTGGCCTTGAACCAGCAACCCCTGAAGCCGTGGGGCAGCGCTCTTACCACAGAGCCACAGATCTCCATGTCTGAACACTTGCTGGAACTGATGTTGGACTGCTGACCTGTGTGTGAGCTGATTCAATAAAACAAGATATATGTCAGATCTGAACCCTTGTCTTTATGAGTCTCTTCCTCAGAGAACTTGTGTTTATTCACTCATCAACCATCATTAGTTTCACATCAGCGTCCATCATCTTGGTGAACATAATGAATTGTGTGGGACATTAGCCATGGTGAGGTTTGAACCCGGGTCTCCTAGATTAAAGCTCAATACTTTAAGACCTGAGCCACTGAATCTGGACAGTGAAGGAGAGGTCAGATTGGGGCTTTATCACTATTCTCATTATGACCAGGGTTTGACACATGTTTCTTTGTAATTTGGGCCACGAAAAACCTGCTGCCAAATGTCAAACTCTGTGGCTCAAAGGATGAGCGTTCGCCTGTTATTTAGAAGTGTGAAGGATCGAATATTATTTCTGCCAGATCGAGATACAAGTCAGATTTGAACTCTTGTCTTTATGAGTCTCTTCCTCAGAGAACTTGTGTTTATTCACTCATCATGGGTTTCGTTCCATCATCAGGGGCTCCTGGTCAGTATAATGAGGTCAAGATGGACATTAGCCATAGTGAGGTTTGAACCCGGGTCTCCTTGATTAAAGATCAATAGTTTATGACTTGAGCCACTGAGTCTAGATGGTGAACAATGTGTCTGAATGAGGCTTTATCACTGTTTTCATCATAAACAAGGTTTGACATATGTTTCTTTGTAATTTGGCTCACAAAACAACTACTGCCTGATGTCAAGCCCTGTGGTTCAGTGGATGAGCCTTTGCCTGCCATACAGGAGAAATGGGTTCAAATCCCACTATTGCTTACTTTACTTTCGGTTGCTGGGATTCAATCAGACAGTGTGGCCCAAACAGCAACTGACAGACTGAAAGCCATGATGGGCTAGTGGATGAACACATGGTTGCGGTAGACAAGGTAACGACAGAGGCCTGGATACGAAACCCACCTCGATGTCTGGCTCACACCACTACAAGTGCAAGGTAATTAGAGCGGGAACACACACATAGAATTACTTTGTTGTTTTTCTGATTATCTCAGCAGTAAAAAGCAGCAGTAGTGCTTGGATTTGAACCCAGGTGTGCTGTGACAGCTTCAGATGTCCTGCTGTGTGCTCTGACCACTACACCATCACCACACACATAGACCCACATTTCTTTCTCCAATGGCAGGATAACCACATTCTACACATTTTGAAAAAAAAACTAAATAAACACAAATAATTCATATCAAATGTAAATTATTTTAAATAAATGTAAACTGCATCATATGCAAATATATTTTTATTTCACTATTCAAAATGTGGAAAACATGCTTATTCTTCAATCAGACACATGAACATGTTTCAAATTATCTTACAGCTGCTTGTGGGGCTTTAAATGTCACTAAACACAATTAAACACTGGAAAATATCATCATTTACTTCTAAAGTCTCCTCATACTGTACTGATGACTCTACACCAAATCTGGCCAATCACATGCTCTCCACAGAAAGTCCCTCCCCCAACAAACACGCGACAGAGCAGCAGCACAACAAACACACTTTCTGGACTCTCTACTGGAAATATGAGCTCATAAATACCTTTCCTGGAGCTGTGAATCCGCCTGGATGTGGAGGAGCGTGTGGAGGAGCGTCAGCTGTTGAGCGCAGCTCAAAGATCTGCAGCAGAAACACAACAGACACACGTGTGTATCTTCACTGCTGCAGAGGAGAGAGAGAGAGAGAGAGCAATGACTGAACACAAACACTACAACAACATCACTACAAACTAAACCAACGAAGCAAAGTCCCTTACAGGTGAGTCTCGTTACTCTCCATTTCTGCACTTGGTGTGGCTTTTCTTCGCTGTCGGGCTGTAATATCTGCTGTTGACTGACATTATGAGTCTGTCACTGAGCTGTCATCTGCTGGAGCTCAACTTGACGCCAGTAAAACGGTGTACCTGTGCTGATCTGGTGTCGCTGTTGTCAAAGGTGTTCAGGCTAAAAGAGCAGCTCGCTGAATAAATAAATACTATTTAAATCAGGATCGGCAGAGAGGCAGGAACTAAACTCAGATCATCGTGAGCACAGTTTTGCTACATGTCTGTCTGTTTAACTAATTTTTAATGTTTAAAGCATATACTCAAACATCTAATCATTCATAAGTGATTAATTTTCTCACTTTATTTAGAGTTTCAGGGCATATTTTTGATTGACAGTGTAGAAATATCAAATAATTATCATTAAAATATGAAACAATTTTTAAAAAACTATTGATTTCAGGCTCAACATAAAAAATATTGTTGAATAAAATGTAAAACATAAACAAACTGATCAGTGAATGTCCGCTTGAACTGAGAAAATGTGACTTTAAACAGAGAGCAGCTGAAGCTGTATTGATTTGTTTTACTGTCTTTACTGCAGATGAAGTTGGTATGTGCTTGTCAAATAAACATTTCAGACGTTTCTATGGATGCTGCACAATTTTTATGTCAAATTTAAGAATTTGAGTCCTGAAGAATAAATAAATCAGTGGAGATGTCCAATAGCAGAGTTTCACTGTGTTTGTTTACAGTCTACTGTGGACATCAGCTGATTCACAAACACATTCATATTATCCACATTCAGTGCACTGCTCAGTCCTCTGCCATTTTGATCTATATAAGAGTATTTTGTAGTCTGCTGAGTATAAGTGTGTACATACTACAAAATGCACATTTAAAAATCGTCAATTACTGTAATCTTTCTGAAGTGAAAGAACTGCAAAACACTTTATTAAACACCAACAGTTGAAGCAGAGGTTGATATTAATTCTGCCTGTTTTATATCAGAGCTTCAAAATACAACAGAATAAATCTCTGCCGGTCTCTTTTGTTAAGTTTAATTATAATGTAGCCTAAATTTATCCATAACACAATAATGCAGGCCGCAAGTCAGATCACAGCTTACTCAAATTCATAAATATGGTTGATATGAACCTTCTGACTCTAGTCATATTTTATAGGAAATGAATGAGCATATTAAACTGTTTCTGGAGGTTTACCTAAACAAATCACAAACCTACTAAATATCAGAGAACAATTGAACTTATTGAATCAATGCAGAATATGCAGCACCTCAGAATCATTCGATTTGCAAAGGTGTAATTCAGAAATATCTTTACACAAGCGTGAAACGTTTAACTTCATTATTTTATAACAGCAGCAGTGCAGTTTACAAACATCAGCACAAGAGTAATATATTTTATAATATTTTAAACTCATAAGATTTGTTATGGTGTACTTCTGAGAAATCTCTAAACGAGGGCAATAAAATGTTGGTTGTCAGCAATAGAGGAGGAAAATACACATAACGACAGCTGCGCCACAGGAAGGTGAAATCTCAGTGCTTTACATTTGCTGTGCTAAAATTCAGAAAAAACATCAGCACAATCTTTCAAATCAATAAATCTGGAAATGTGTAATTCAGAAATATCTCCACAGGAGGGAGAAACTTTGCATTTGAGTATTTTAGAATGGCAGCTGTGCAGTTCACAAAAATCACCACAAGAAGGTGCTGTTATAGCGAATATTTTAAATTCAGCAGATTTAAGATTTGCAAAGGTGTAATTCAAAATAATCTCCACAGGAGGGCGCAATATTTGATACACATGTAATATTTGTCTATTTGTCTATTGTTAGATCAGATATTCAGCGTGTGTAATAATGTGTTGATTTGTGTGTCGACTCTACAGGATCAGTGAAGTGTTGTGGACTGTAAGCCTGTTGAACAAAAGCAGAGACGAGTGGACAGACACTGACTGTACTGATGATGATCATCTGCTGCTGCACAGGTGATGTAGATCATGTGTGTGATTGGTTGTGTGTGTGTCTGTTCCACATGTCGGTTACCATCATTTGCTTTGTGGAGGGTCACTCCTCTACAAAGTAAATGATGGTAACCGAAACGGGTGGGGAAGGGACGAAGGTCCAGAATTTTTATACAGTTCATTTTAAATTTTTTGCCAGGCTATAAAGTATAACCCCTGCTGGACACGGCTCCGGAAGCTCCAGGGGGAGACCGAACTGGTATCCCCCCTTCTTCAGGCGCGCCTCACACTCACTCACCATTCACTCATATCGCAGAGTTCTGGCTGGCCTTGAACCAGCAACCCCTGAAGCCGTGGGGCAGCGCTCTTACCACAGAGCCACAGATCTCCATGTCTGAACACTTGCTGGAACTGATGTTGGACTGCTGACCTGTGTGTGAGCTGATTCAATAAAACAAGATATATGTCAGATCTGAACCCTTGTCTTTATGAGTCTCTTCCTCAGAGAACTTGTGTTTATTCACTCATCAACCATCATTAGTTTCACATCAGCGTCCATCATCTTGGTGAACATAATGAACTCAGTGGGACATTAGTCATGGTTAGGTTTGAACCCGGGTCTCCTAGATTAACGCTCGATACTTTAAGACCTGAGCCACTGAGTCTGGACAGTGAAAGAGGTGTCAGATTGGGGCTTTATCACTATTCTCATCACGACCAAGGTATGCCACATGATTCTTTGTAATTTGGGCCACGAAAAACCTTTTGCCAAATGTCAAACCCTGTGGCTCAAAGGATGAGCGTTCGCCTTCTATTTAGAAGTGTGAAGGATCGTATCTCATTTCTGCCAGATCGAGATACAGGTCAGATTTGAACTCTTGTCTTTATGAGTCTCTTCCTCAGAGAACTTGTGTTTATTCACTCATCATGGGTTTCGTTCCATCATCAGGGGCTCCTGGTCAGTATAATGAGATCAAGATGGACATTAGCCATAGTGAGGTTTGAACCCGGGTCTCCTTGATTAAAGATCAATAGTTTATGACTTGAGCCACTGAGTCTAGATGGTGAACAATGTTTCTGAATGAGGCTTTATCACTGTTTTCATCATGACCAAGGTTTGACAAAGTTCTTTGCAATTTGGCTCACAAAACAACCATTGCAAAATGTCAAGCCCCATGGCTCAGCGGATGAGCCTTAGACTGGCATACAGGAGACATGGGTTCGAACCCAACTATTGCTTACTTTACTGTCACTTGCTGGGATTCAGTCAAACAAAGAAGCCCAAGGAGCATGAAAGCCATGATGGGCTAGTGGATGAACATATGGTTGCGGTGGACAAGGTTACGGCAGAGGCCTGGGTACGAAACCCACCTCGATGTGTGGCTCACACCAACGAAGGTACAAATAGCAAGGTAATTAGGAGGTGGGGGAACACAAACATAACAATACTTTGTTTTTTTTCTAATTATCTCAGCAGTAAAAAGCAGCAGCAGCTCTTGGATTTGAACCCAGGTATGCTGTGACAGCTTCAGATGTCATGATGTGTGCTCTGACCACTACACCATCACCACACACATAAACCCACATTTCTTTCTCCAATGGGAGGATAACCACATTCTACACATTTAAAAAAAAAAAAAACTAAATAAACACAAATAATTCATATCAAATGTAAATTATTTTAAATAAATGTAAACTGCATCATATGCGAATATATTACTATATTTCACTATTCAAAATGTGGAAAACATGCTTATTCTTCAATCAGACACATGAACATGTTTCAAATTATCTTACAGCTGCTTGTGGGGCTTTAAATGTCACTAAACACAATTAAACACTGGAAAATATCATCATTTACTTCTAAAGTCTCCTCATACTGTACTGATGACTCTACACCAAATCTGGCCAATCACATGCTCTCCACAGAAAGTCCCTCCCCCAACAAACACGCGACAGAGCAGCAGCACAACAAACACACTTTCTGGACTCTCTACTGGAAATATGAGCTCATAAATACCTTTCCTGGAGCTGTGAATCCGCCTGGATGTGGAGGAGCGTGTGGAGGAGCGTCAGCTGTTGAGCGCAGCTCAAATATCTGCAGCAGAAACACAACAGACACACGTGTGTATCTTCACTGCTGCAGAGGAGAGAGAGAGAGAGAGCAATGACTGAACACAAACACTACAACAACATCACTACAAACTAAACCAACCAAGCAAAGTCCCTTACAGGTGAGTCGCGTTACTCTCCATTTCTGCACTTGGTGTGGCTTTTCTTCGCTGTCGGGCTGTAATATCTGCTGTTGACTGACATTATGAGTCTGTCACTGAGCTGTCATCTGCTACTGGAGCTCAACTTGACGCCAGTAAAACGGTGTACCTGTGCTGATCTGGTGTCGCTGTTGTCAAAGGTGTTCAGGCTAAAAGAGCAGCTCGCTGATTCCACCTAGTGGAGCGGATGGGATCTGCACTTTAACGCAGAAAAATCCAAGTCTGCATGCAGATACTATTGGAGAAAGACTGACCAAATCTGCCTCTTGCAGAGTTTACAATTTTTTTTTCATCCACTCATTGCGTTTTCATTCAGCAACAGAAATACTTATAATATAAAACTTAATGAACGACTTAATACAATATAGGATTAAAAATAAAGCAGCCAGTCATCTTTATAAGGCATTTAGTAAAGGAAATGTGTTCGTATTTTTGTTGGTAAAAATTATCATTTGTGTCTGCTAAATTAGTTGTGTGCTGAATTGTACACCTGTCACACTCTAAAACTTAATATTAATTTGGTTAAGAGCTTATTAGAAAATAAATAAACTGAATTTGTATATTAAATAGAGCATGAACTCATACATTGTGAATACACTTTAATGTGTGATGAGAACTTTTTAAATGTTTTTAATAATGTGTGTGGTGATGGAAATGACATTTCAACAGTTTATTGTGAAAAATAATGAAAAATAGCTTCACCGATTAACTTTGAATTGATACAAGCCTTTCATATATACAAAACACTCTTATTTACCCTCATTTTGTTTTGGTTTTACATTTTTAAGTAGGTTTTATTGTTAGTTTGACAAAGAAAGAGGAATTTGAACAAAATTATATATATGTTTGGATATTTGATCAAAGGACATAAAAGTGCTCGTAGTTGAAGAATTACCCAGATCCTGAAAATAGAGATTTGACAGACACAGACGCTTCAGCTGAACACATCACTACATTAGGTCATGTTTAACTTCAGTCACTGATCAAAATCATGTCAAAGATTAAAAACTGATTCAAATAATCATAATAATAAAGTCAACAAGAACAGATTTTGATCCTTCCTGAAACAGATGAAGACAGAAAACGACTCGCTTCAACAGGAAGCAGAACTTTGCTCACGATGACCTCAGTTTACTCAAGCCTCTCTGTCATTTGAAGATCCCCATAAAAACTGTGATATTTAGCATTTGATGATAAGTCTCTATTTAATAATAATTACTTTTTTAGTTTAGACCTCAAGACTTTCTGCTTCCTTTTACACATTAAAATGTTTCTGGTTGTCAGCATCAGTGGAGGAAAATACACAGAACTACAGCTGCGCCACAGGAAGGTGAAATCTCAGTGCTTTACATTTGCTGTGCTGAAGTTCAGGAAAAACATCAGCACAATCTTTCAAATCAACTGAACTGCAAAGGTGTAATTCAGAAATATCTCCACAGGAGGGCGAAATGTTTAAATTCATACTATTAGATATGCAGTGGTGTCATTCACCAAAATCACCACAGGAGGGCGAACATTTTAAATTCATCAAGTTCGCAGTGGTGTAATTCAGAAATATCTCCACAGGAGGGAGAAACGTTCATTATTTTAGAGCGGCAGCAGTGCAGTCCACAAAAATCCCCACAAGAGGGCGAATATTTTAAATTCAGCAGATTCAAGATTTGCAAAAGTGTAGTTCAGAGAAATCTCCACAGGAGGGCGCAATATTTGATACATATGTAATATTTGTCTATTTGTCTATTGTTAGATCAGATATTCAGTGTGTGTAATAATGTGTTGATTTGTGTGTCGACTCTACAGGATCAGTGAAGTGTTGTGGACTGTAAGCCTGTTGAACAGAAGCAGAGACGAGTGGACAGACACTGACTGTACTGATGACTATCATCTGCTGCTGCACAGGTGATGTACATCATGTGTGTGATTGGTTGTGTGTGTGTCTGTTCCACATGTCGGTTACCATCATTTGCTTTGTGGAGGGTCACTCCTCTACAAAGTAAATGATGGTAACCGAAACGGGTGGGGAAGGGACGCAGGTCCAGAATTTTTATACAGTTCATTTTAAATTTTTTGCCAGGCTGTAAAGTATAACCCCTGCTGGACACGGCTCCGGAAGCTCCAGGGGGAGACCGAACTGGTATCCCCCCTTCTTCAGGCGCGCCTCACACTCACTCACCATTCACTCATATCGCAGAGTTCTGGCTGGCCTTGAACCAGCAACCCCTGAAGCCGTGGGGCAGCGCTCTTACCACAGAGCCACAGATCTCCATGTCTGAACACTTGCTGGAACTGATGTTTGACTCTACCCGAGCTGTGATTTTAATAATAAACTGAGTAACCTCTTCGTGTGTCATGAACCCATGTCTCTATCATCATCTTATTCTCAGAGCACATGTTAATCCACTGACCCACCATGGATTCACAGTGAAGTGGGGCATTTAAGCGATTTTGTCGTATTTAATGATTACAATTTAACATAATTGAGAGAGGGATTTGAACTCACAACCTCATGACTACTGTCACAGCTCATTATTCCTTGCACCACTGAGCCTGCAGAGATTTGACCTGTGTTAGTTTAATAGACTCTATAATAAATTTAAGTGTGCTGCACCCTCCTCTGGCAGTTTATGGGAACAACTTTGTTACAAATGGACTGTAACACCCTCCTGTGGTGGTTTTAGCTAACTACATCAAATTTACTTTATTGTGCCCTCCTGTGGTAATTTTTGTAAACTACATCACAAATTGACATTAAGACGCCATTCTGTGGTGGTTTTTGTAAACTACATCACTACAAATTGATTAATTGGCCCTCTTGTGGTGATTTTTGTAAACTACGTCACTAATTGACATTAATGCGCCCTCCTGTGGTGATTTTTGTAAACTACATCACTACAAATTGACATTAAAGCGCCCTCCTGTGGTGATTTTTGTAAACTACATCACTACAAATTGACATTAAAGCGCCCTCCTGTGGTGATTTTTGTAAACTACATCACTACAAATTGACATTAATGCACCCTCCTGTGGTGATTTTTGTAAACTACATAACAAATTGACGTTAATGCGCCCTCCTGTGGTGATTTTTGTAAACTACATCACAAATTGACATTAATGCACCCTCCTGTGGGGATTTTTGTAAACTACATCACTACAAATTGACATTAATGCACCCTCCTGTGGTGATTTTTGTAAACTACATCACAA